ACATAGTAAAAAAGTGTGATGTAGATGGCAAATCTAAAACCGCACATTTGATAATTATTTTTGGACTTTCCTAATAGTATTCTGGGTGCTGAACAATATGTACTAGGTCTGGGTTGGTCTTCATAGGGTAAAAAAGAAACGCCACGGCATCGAATATTTTTAAGCATTATGAAAAACTTTGAAAGTAGTATATCTGGCAAAGTCGCAGGTTGAGGGGCACATGCGTATATCATCATTGGAATCAGCATAAAGAGTTCTATCTGAAAAGTTATGTTTGGTGTGGTCTTCACGGGGTCCCAAGGGATTTGCTAAATAACTCCCCAGGGAATGCGAATTTCGATCTGATTTTCAGAAAGACATGCTCTACTCATCATAAGCTTTCGATTGATATATGGTTCAACCCATTCCGAACACAGGCCGAAAATCGCACATTTTGGCTGTCCTCCTTTAATCATTTTATTTCAATTTTTCGTTTTCTCCAAGTTTGGTTATAATTTTATCATCTGTTTTCTCAATGAAATCGGATAACTATGTCAAGATTTTTCTTCTATTTAAAGTAGCTTGTTTTCAATTTAATATTCAAATCTATCTCAACTTTCAATTAGTAAACCAACTCTTGTTACCTGTGAAGAAAAAGATTGTTACAAAAATGAAATTCTTCATGTTAACTGTCTGCCTTTTTGGAACTGTATTTGCTAAGAGTCCTTCTACAGAATGGAAACCGCTCCCTGTTGATGATCCAACTGTTATAAAGTTAGCTAACCAAGCCGTTGCGCATATCAACGAAAAATGGGAAAAATTGTTTTACAATAAACTGATCGAGATTAAAGAAGCTAAATCTGTAGCCGATGATGGAATTACTTATATGCTTAAAATGATCATACGATTAACTTATTGTCCAAAATCTAAACCGTACCATGATGATTGTGAAATCAGACAAGCTGTAAGTTTTAACATCATTTGAAATATATTTAAACACAATGACCAAACTATTGAGATTTGTTATTCATTTATTTTCTTACCCACAGTCAAGTGCTCAAATATGCACCGTCGAGGGACATAAACCTAGTGGCTCTGAAGAAATCAAGATCAGCAATTTAAGTTGTGATACAATTCCTCTACCCCCCAGTTAAAGAAAAATTGCGTCTCATGTTCATCGAGATACCCATCAAACAAAATGCCAGAGTCATGCGTTTTTTTCGTTTAACGCAATAGTTTCATTTATCAATGTCTGCTTAGACAATTCATTCAATAAATTAAACACGTTAAATTACGTTGTGAAATAAATCCTAAGATTGAAAAATAATTTGTCCAATTTTTCTTTGTAAATGTGATTGAAGTACATGATTGGAAAAAGCGAAATTTGCGATTTAAGATTACCAGATTTCAAAACAAATTCGTAAGCATTGTAGATGAGTTGATCTGAATAAACCCGTTTCTTTGATAATCCAATTTGATTAATTAAGTTTGTAATTTTTGTAATATAATAAGTCAACAAGCTTTTTACAGCTGTTTCTATTAGTTTTTCGTGATATTGAAAAATAAGAATTACTATCAATCATAAAGATATCAAGTATTTACAGTCTTTTACTTTTGAATTGCTTGCTTTTAACGAATGGAAAAATACAAATCCGTTTAAACCTTCTAAGCCCTTTAGGGCTAATCTGTTTAGTCACAAAAGAGGAAATTTCTTTAACATTCGAAGTTACGTTGACCAAGATTGTCAAAGAACTCTGGGGGAAATTCGTGATTTTGTAAGTGAGAAATTTGGTAAAAACTTATCTTTGACATAAATTGAACGCTATTTGGATATAATTCATTACTCATTCAAACGAGTATCAATTGTGCCTGAAAGAAGAAACTCTTCTGCTGTTATACAACAACGCTATTATTATGCTGTTCGTTTTCTTGATATGGATATAAATAAGATCGTGATAAGATCTTCTTTATATGAATGCGGTGTGGCTATTCATTGTAGGACCAATTATGGACGAATTCGCATTGGAACAACAGCAAATGTCAGAGTTCGAGCTGTTAAAGGAAAAAATTTCTCAATCTGTGCGGCAATGCGATACAATGAGCTCTATTACTAAAAGTGTCAACCACAATCATACAACACTATGGATTTTATCACATATTTAAAAGAACTTTTCGACAAAAGTGAAGCTGATAAAAATTTTTTGGTAATGGATAATGTGAGATCACATCATGCCAGTGCTGTAGATGAACTAATCAAAGAAACTAACCATGAGCTCATTTTTCTTCCTGCTTATTCGAGATTTCTCAATCCAATCGAGAAAATGTTTAATCAACTAAAGCATTATGTAAAACGGTTCAAACCAAAATGAGCTGAAGAAGTTTATAATGGAGTTGAGTTAGCATCTCAGTGTATTGGTGAGAAAGATTGTAACAATTATTACTCCAAAATGAAAAAATACATTAACCTTTGCGTACAGAAAGTACCAATTGCAAATTGATGTTTAAAGGTTGACTTTTTCATTTGTTAATGACCTTTTCTTTTGACAAAAACAGAATTAAGTAAAGAAGTGTTTCAAATTTTCTCTAATCCTTGCATTTTTCCATTCGTTAAATCAGAGCAATTCAAAAGTAAAAGATTGTAATGAGTTCAATTAAAGCCTGGATCTGGTCAGCGAGTCACAAGAGTCTCTAGAACTGTAGCTCACTTTTCTCGATTCTGTTAATTGCCTGATAATTTCATACAAATTTCATCGTCATGTAAATTATATTATTTTCAAGTATTTTTCAATATTATTTTTTCGAATACAAGGTTCAAGTTTCATAATATTGGTAAAGCAAAATTTAAATCAAAGAAATTTAATCCTTTCATTTCAATTTTTCGCTTTCTCAAAGTTTGGTTTCAATTTGATCATCTGTTTTCTAAGTGAAATCGACTAGAAATCACGTCGATAACTATGTCAAGATCTTTTTCTTTCCCAATTTTTGTCTATTAGAAGTAGTTTTTATCAATTTAATATTCAAATCTATTTCAAGTTTCAATTAGTAAACCAACTCTTTTTTGCCTGTCAAGAAGAAGATTGTTTCAAGAATGAAATTCTTCATCTTAATTGTCTGCCTTTTTGGAACTGTATTTGCTCAGAGTCATCCTGTAAAATACAAACCGCTCCCTGTCGATGATTCAACTGTTATAAAGTTAGCTAACCAAGCCGTTGCTAAAATCAACGCAGAGGGAAATGGTAAGTTTTACAATAAACTGATCGAGATCAAAGAAGCTAGATCTAAACTCCGCCATTCTAAAATTACTTATACGATTAAAGTAATCTTACGAAAAACTTATTCTCACAAATCCAAACCGTACACTGATGCTTGTGGAATCAACGATACTGTAAGTTTTAGCCTCATTTAAAATACATTCAAACACAATGACCAAACTATTGAGATTTGTTATTCATTCATTTTCTTGTTCACAGGCACCTCCTAAACTATGCACCATCGATGCATATGTACGTGTTGGTTCTGACGAAAGCAAGATCGTCATATTACGTTGTGAAACAATTCATAAGCCTGTAAAATGATTTTTCCAATTTTTCTTGGTACATGTGATTGAAGTACATGATATGGAAAAAGCTAATTGTGCGATTTAAGATTAGCAGATTTCAAAACAAATTCGTAAGCATTTTGATTGAGTTGATCTGAATAAATCCGTTCCTCGATAGATTTGATTTATGAATCTTGGTTGGTCTTGATTTCAATTTTATTAATTATGTTTGTACTTTTTGTATCATTAGGTTGTCCGGGCCAAAACGGCGGAGATTTGATTGTTGTTAATTTCGAATTGGTGGGACTTTTTTATGAATTTTCGGTCAGTAATACCTGAATATCTAAGAATTGTTTTGCAATTAATAGAGTAGAATTATTTGGTTTCGCTGATAAATTAGAACAATCCAAGTCAAAAATTTTTATTTTGGCGAAAATTCCAAAAAATCCTAGGGTTTTCCCTAAATCGCTAGCTTTTTTCAATTTTTGGATATTTTTTGATAATTGAATGAAAGTGTTTGATTTTTTTGAAGAAATTAAAAAACCATTCGATGAAATAAATCAAGACGAACAATTTGTGTCAATTTCGTGCATCTATCACATGAAGTTTAGTCTACAGACTCGATCAATGAGGTGAAATTTTCGATTTTTGATTTTTTTCAGTAATTTTCTGATAACTTTTGAATTACTGTTGATTTCGACATGAAATCTCGCATAATTAATCTTGTTAGCTACACAATTCTATTCGGAATACCTTTGATCAAACTCGCACCACTTTGGCCCGGACAACTCAATAAGTCAACCAGCTTTTTACAGCTGTTTCAATCAGTGTTTGGCGATATTGAAAAGGAATCACTATCAATCATAAAGGTATCAAGTATTTAATGAGTTCAATTAAAGCATGGATCTGGTTCGTGAGACACAAGAGTCCCTACAGACAACTGAAAGCTCAATTTTTCTCGATTCTGTAGATTGCCTAATAATTTCATCAAATTTCTTGATATGGAGTATTATCGACAGGAGTAGTAAAGGGTATCTAACGCCACGAAAAGGTGGAGCCTATTTTAGGGGGAGGGTTAGGGGGAAATGCGTAGAAAAGTTGCGCGGTAAATTTTTAAATTTCAAAACGAAAATTTTGCATATAAATATACTAGT